TATTTTTTTCTCTACTTGTTGACACAGACGCCAGAGGCATTGTGTTCCCAGACGAAGGCCGGGACCCCGTCGGGTGGAGGCGACTTCTGGCAGCGCAGTCCCGTGCCGCATCTCCCCGAGACGTCGGATGGCCCTCCGCAGCTGCCCCCTGGGCCCTGCATTTATTTATATCATTTATTTATATCATTCATTTCTATATTCAAAATTTAAAGTTTTTGTCAGAATAATTTAAATTCTTAAGATGCATTTTAAAATCTTTTTTCTCTCACTCCTCGTCGCGAAAAGGTCCAGAAAACAAGTTTATCTCAATGAATGGCTGCAGAAAAGAACTGCCTCAGTTTCAGTTTCAGTTTCAGTTTCCGTTTCAGTTTCCGTTTCAGTTTCCATTCCCAATCCCAGAGATCACATTACAGGCAAAATAAAGATTACGAAGCAAACAGTAAACATAAGTTGAGAAGAGATTTCGTCGAATGGACTCACTCTCACCCACGCCAAGAGAATATTCGACATTCCATGACATTCCATGACATTCCTCTCGCATGCCAAGACCTTTCCGGCCCGCAACGAAATGCAAAGACGGCGAATCGCGCCGGTTACCTGAAGGCAGGCGGGGCAGCACGGACACGCGTCCAGTCCGATCCCGAATTTGCATCGCGTCACGTCGAAGTTGCATTGCACCGCGGCCGGGTCGCAGTAGCAGCTCAGGCCGTCCGCCGCCCTGAATGAGAGATCACGTCATGTCAGGGCATCGAGTGACATGGTGTCAGGGCATCGAATGACAAGATGTCAAGGAATAGAGTGATATGATGTCAGGAGGTCACATGTCGTCGTGTCAGGGCATCGAATAACATGTCAGGGCATTGAGTAACATGTCAAGACATCGAACAACATGTCAAGGCATCGAATAACATGTCAAGGCATCGAAGAACGTCACGTCGAGGCACGAAAGGAAATCGTGTCAGGGCACCACACGACAAAACGCGATAAAAGCCAGTAAAGTCATGCAATCTCACCAGAGGGAAGCGAGGGCGAGGAGGGACAGAAACGGGACCGGCATCTTCTCCGATCACCGACGAGAATGGGAATTGCGCTTCCGGAGGCACGAAGACCGCTTCGACGGACGAAACGGCTTTTATTATTTTTGTTTTATTTATTCCATCCGGACTCGACTTCGGCACGGAGCGCATCTGTATTCCGACCGGATCCCCTTCGGAAGGCCCATATATGGGAAGGGTTTCGCGACGAGTCCATTCCCCTTCTTCCCTCTCGATCGAGTGGGGAAAGACTCGGGCGTTGCGCCACGCGGCAACAATGACGGGCGACAGAGGGTCGCCGCAGTTGCGGACCCGAAGCAATCCTGTACCGGTCCCGGGCCGAGGCGTTCCTCGACCCGTAACCATGGATCCACCTGCCAAGTATGGATCCACCTGTAACCATGGAATTCCCCTGTAACCATGGAATTCCATTTAATTTTAAACCTGTATGTTTTCTTTTGCAGCTGGCTGACGCACGGCATCGACCGAACGACGGCGTTTCGGCCTTCTATCGACAATCTCGACGCTTTCGATCGATTCGGAAGCAACGCAGCCATGACAACTAATATGGCGGCTGATTTTGGCCGCTTGGAAATGAGACCGGAAAATAATTTGCGAGCGAGTCCCGCGGGGGAAGCCGGATGTTTCTTTAATCCAATAAGATGATAAGAAATAATAAGAAAATGAAGCAAAATAGCCAGGCAAAAGTTTGATCGAGAAGGCCCCCGGTGCCCCCGGTGCCCCCGGTGCCCCCGGTGCACCCCTGAAAACGTGGAGCAACCAGGGCGACCCTCTAATGTCAGTACGTACATGATTCAGACAAATTTTTTTCTCTGTGCTAATGCAGAGACAGTTGGAAAAGAAAAATGTCAGTCCTTGGGTATCCTGGAATCTCTTAACGGATGCGTCTCCCCCGAAACAGGAAGGAAGTTCCTGATAATGGAGCTTCCGAGGAAGCAGATCGCGATGCCCTTGGAGCCTGCGACTTATTTTCGCAACGAGGTTGCGACTGTGTTTGAATAAATTTTTAAAGTTCATTTATGTATGATGCCATAATGCATGCTCAATGGCTCGCCACTGCCTTGCCACTGGCTTGCCACCGACTCGAGCGAGCTTCTCATTAACGATCCCGAGCCGTGAAGGGATTTAACGACTGTGTTACAGCTCAAAGGATTAACGTCCGCCGCTAGCTCGAAAAGAGTCGCCTGACCGAGTCCAGAAAGGAAAGGCCAGAGGAAAGGCCAGAAGAAAGGCCAGAGGAAAGGGTCAGAGGAAAGGGCCAGAGGAAAGCAGAAGAGCATGGGCTAAATAATAACTCGGGGTTGTCTCTGTCCGAGCGAAATATACCATCGTGATCGGGAAATTCCTCGACCCTGCGACTCCGAGGACATAAAAGGCAACCCTGCGACTTCGAGGACATAAAAACGCAGTCAACCGTGAAAGAATGCTCCGAGTATTTTACGAGGGATCGCTGTCACGTAGGCAGAAACCTTTAAGAGATGGATTCTTTGCTCCCCAGCGCGGCGGAACGCAAGGAAAATTGCAAGGAAATCAGTGCGATTTTTTCGCTGTTCTTCCGAGAAGCCTGGAAGGCCTGTCGTCCTAGAAGGCCTTCCGAAGGCTTGCTGGGACGACAGGCCTTCCTTGCGTACTTTGAGAGGAAGCGTGTAGAAGAACCGGCTTTTTTAAGCAAGTTTTTCTATTTTTAACGGGTCTTTAATTTTGTTTCAGGACTGCCTCCTTTTAAATAATAAAAATAGGCTGCTCAAATGATTATTCTTCGCATTTTCCGTGTCGACGGGAAACTGTTGTCAACACTTGCTTACCTCACAGCGGCCACAAATTTTACATTTTTCAGAACTTTAATCTCCTCGGAAATTCATTTTTGAAATTATTTTTTATCGGAATAAATGTGAAAGCTGGCCGTCCCAGAAAGTTCTCAGAGAAATGAATCATCACGAGGAAGGGAAGGAAGGGAAAGGAACCTCCTCCCGAAGGCAATCACCATCCGGAGGGAATCCCCATCCAGGGAAACACATGGACAGAGAGATATCTCCCTCCTCCTCCTCCCGCGTTCCTTCCGACCCACGGAGCGACATAATTAAAAGGATGGAGCTTCTTAAATTCATCGAGGGATCCACATTTGGAGCGCCTGAAAAGATATCCTCATAAATTAAATTCCTTTCCCCCTTTGTGCCCCTGTCGGCTGGCCTCATGCACGATTTACTGCATTTTGGCACAAGGTCGAAAATTAGGGCGAAGAAGGGAGAAAAAATTCTCTCGAGACGTTATATATACCATATATAAAATGCCCCCGTACCATTCCGCGTTGAATTATGATCGCGACGAGGTATCCCCCCTGCCAAATGCGAAAAAAGGGGGGAAAGGGACTCGAGCCCATTTAAGGCAAAATTTGCGGAAAGAGTAATGGACGCATCGTTTTTATGGAAGGGGTCGCGAAGTGAAGCGAAGAAATGAAAGGAAAAATCAGGGGGAAAGCGGGGTCAATGGAGAAGATCGACTCGAATGGGGAAACGGTTCATACCCTCGGAGAGTTATGAGCCGTAAAAAAAAAAAAAAGGATGACGTCATCAAACACGAGTGCCTCAGACAATCGACTTTATTATCACAGATCCCTCGCATTAAGTAAGAAATATCGCCTCTTCGCGGATAAACCTCGCAAGAGAATGAATACAATTTTGGACATTTTCGAACAAGTTTTAAACATTCAAATTTTTTTTTTCTTTCAACAAAATTCAGCATATTTTAAATAAAAAATATTCAACGAGAGAGAGAAAATTTTCAAACCTAAGGAAAAAAAAAATACTAAAAATAAATTGAAGAGGAAAAGATTCCATTATACGATGTAGATGCTGAGGTTCTCACGTCGGAGGCACTCCTGCGCCTCCTGGAGGATCCGGAGTCTCGGTCCCAGCGGGATCGCCATCTTCTGCAGCCTCTCCTCCGTCATGTAAGGCAGCTCCACCATCCCCACCCCCTCCGCCTCGAAGTTCGCTGCGTATTTCTGAAAAAAACGGAGCAGTTTTGGATTTCTTTTCTCTCGGGCTTTTTATCGACCGGCTTCGGAAATTTGCTGAATATGCGTAAATAAACGGACACGTGCATCATGTGGAACTTAGAAAATAGAAAACTAAACGATGCAGGACATTTCGAGGGCAGCATGGCGTTTTTCGTCCAAAAAATGCAATGGACTGCACTAGAGCATGCGAGGATCCATCACAAAGTTCGCATAATTTTTTTTGTCAGTGCAGTCCTTTCGCTCCAAGGTGAAACGATCCCCTTCAGCGTTGTCCAGTGGGCGTTGAAGTCGTTGCGAGTGCGTCTGCAATCCGTTACGACCATCGGCCCTATCCTATTCATTGGACAGGTTGTGACAGGTTCCTCTTCCCGTGGCTCAATTCCATATCGGAGAGACGCAATCCTCAGTTCCACGACAAGTGAGCTGCAGACCCTTCCAAAAGACGGATTGCAGACGTACTCGCAACAGCTTGACACCCGCTAAAAAAAAAAAAAAAACTCGCGCCACCTATTAACATTTTTATGAGGTACATGCAACCTTAAGAAATGGCAGAGAGATAAGATCGTCGATGCGAATCCTGCAGACTGCTCCCTTATCCGTAATTGCATCTCTTCGGCTCTGGTCGGCTTGGCGGCCTCCGACTTAATATGCAATTTGCAGTTGATGAAAACCTATTCAGGAAGTCCAATTTCTAGACCTCCTCCAAATAAACATCTGTCTGTATGCGTGTAACCCATCAATTACGACTTAACTCCACGACGGAACGCAAGTGCAGGTGCTGCCTGCGCCAGACGCCTCCATCCCGCCAATTCCTCTCCTCACACCCCGGCCTGCGGAGCCGTCACTGCCAAATTCATCGGATCTGCCGATGGCAAACGGTGCATCGAAGACGGGGAGACCATCCTTGCTGTGGATCCCAGAGCGAACGGGGAGAGACGGAGGAAGATCCGCACGGGAATGCTGCCGAGGCGACCCGACCGCCATCTCGCGAGCGGGCGCGTTATTCATCGGTTCTCGTTTTGTCTTTTGATTCTCCGCTCATGCGCTGATGCCTCCATCGGTCATCGCAACGGCCTCGGTCCGTACGAGCCCGGTCAGCGAGGGCTGTGGCGAGCTGAAGCCCCCTTCGCGTCTTCCCAAAATGTTGCTGTTATGATGTTCTAAAATAGTGGGGAAAAGATGTCAATTTTCTTTTTCCGCCGTAATTTTCAGCGAGTCCACGATTAGTTCTAACGCCGTTCGCCTACGTGGCGTTCGCGATCCCCGGTCACCTTAACCCTAGCCACCCTCGAGCAACCCACTCGAGCTAAGCCGCCTTTCTCACGCATATTCTCCGATCGAGATTCCCAGTTATCAGAGGATGGTTCCGACGAATCTAAATCCAACGAGTTGAACGCTTTCGAGTCCAAGTCGAGTCACGAGAGGCCATCACGTCTCCCGACTCGTGAGCGCAATCGTGCCTCGTGACTCATGGCAGCGTCATGACGCCTAATTGCACTCATCCGAGACGAAACCATTCTCTTCGAGGCTATTGCGAGCCGGTGGCTCCACCTGCCACTAAAGACATAATAGAAGCGTGAGCTTGTTGATTCATTGTAGTTACCGAATGGGCGGGAAACGGATCTTGGCGCAAAGGAATGCGCGAATGTTTCATTCATCCGCTAATGCAAATGCTTCCGTGCGTCTTAAATCTTTAAGACGTTTCGCGACCAAGTTCATCACTATTGAGGTGCGGAAACCACACGACCTCCATGCGTTTCTCATCTGGCACACCCTGCATTTCATCTCAGGACTTGCGGAAAATTTCCTTCCAAGAATGAAAAAAAAGTGCCACAACTCCCAAACCCAGCAACCGACAGAAAAAAAAACGGCTTACCTCATACCCGAGCCGCTTGAGGAACAACCTCAGCAGCGGCGGCTCGTCCCCGAAGAACTTTGTCAGCTTCCGGACCCTCCCCGGATTGGTCAGCGACGGCAGGCTCGCCCGGAGCAGCTCCCTCGTGTACCCCGCATGGGCGTGGTGCTGGTGGGACGGCCACGGCCGCCCGCCGCCTCGCGTCCTCAACTCTGCCATCTCCGCCTTCAGGCTCTCCACCTCCTGCGCGGCGGAACGTTATTTGACATGGAGAAGGGCGAAACAGACAGGGATGCACTAACGAGAGGATCGAGAACTAATGGTTCGTGATCGTGAAAAAGCGGATTTTTTCCGCCGAGAAATATTCAGGGAATTATTTTATATATAGAATCAAAAGTAAATAAACGCAAGTATAGGCCTGAAATTAAGAATCACGTATCGTCCTCGAATAAAGTATGTCACAGAAAACATGTAAAAATAAATTTATGCAGCATTTATGTTGCGCAGAAGACTAAGCCCTTTCTCTCGTTTCCGTCAGAAGGTTGAAGAACGTGAGAACAGAACTTTCAGTTCGTATGCCCTACTTCCTCTTAGGCTGCAACAACTTCTCGATATTAGATACATCACTTCTACCCTTCTGGGGTCGACAGCTAGGGGGGAGGGGGAGGGGGAGGGGGCAAGAGGACTCGTAACGCTTAACTCCTCTCCGCCCCCTAAAAAAAAAAAAAAAAAGGCAGGCGCCTATGAATCCGTCTACCTTGAAAGGGGAGGGGGAGGGGAGAATAAATCTGCTTCCAAATAATCAACGATGAGCGTTTCAAATCCTTGAATCTCTGAGGGTTGGGCAGGGGGCGAGGGAGGAATCATTCAATCTTCTGAATGATAAATTGCAGTAAAAAAAAAAAGAAGACTTTTGCTTCTGGCTGTTGCCACATTCATCCTTTTGCAACCTTGTTAGCGCCATCCCTAACATTTTGAGAACAAAAGGAATAATCAAGCAAGGATGGTTGCCAATGGGCACACCGGAGGTGGCCCACCGAAACGGTGCCACCCTCTTGCCAGGAGGGGGGGGAGGGGGCAATCGTGGGGGGCAATCCCGAGTGGGGGGTGATCCGAGCCCAGTGGTTCATTCGCCACGCGGTAGGAGGAAACCAAGAGATGGATGTGAAATTTTCCGAGGTGGCAGACTGGCGAAAGGGTGGTGAAAGGAAAAATGCAAAAGATATGGGCCGCCGTCTGGGCGAAACTCTCAAGTTGAGGCTAATTTTCATGAGAATTTGCATGATGACGGAGTATGACGATCGATGCAAGTACTAATTTGAAACTCGATCCATCATCCGGAGGAGCGACGCGACATCGACTGAAACCTGACGCCGGGGAATATTCAAGAGGAGAACTACCAGGTTGAAGGAAAAAAAAAAAAGTCTGAAAAACCGTAATTTAATTCTCGACCTCGTCCGCCGAATTGTAACATTTTCTCCGAGGGGAGAAAGGAGAAAGCTGACCTGAAAGAGGTGGTGTTGGTTCCTCAATTCCGATGACAGATGAGCCACGCTTCGAGCCAAAGTCACGACGTGGGATTCCAGACGCTGAAATCTCTTCGCCACGCTCTGCAAAAAAAAAAAAAATTATATATATATATATATTTATTTATATATCTACATATATTACATGGAGATGAATGCAAAGGCTAGAAGGATTTCCCGAGACTCACGCGAGGCTCTTTCGTCTTTCGCCTCTCGTCCAGCCGCCTCTTGTCCTTGCTCCTCACGCCCGAGTTGCCCACGGAGGAGGGCAGGGACGACAGGCTCCCGTAGGTCCTCCTCCTCCTCTTGCCCCCCGACTCCTCCACCCCCCTGGGCGTAGAGAAGCCCTTGCCCCTGAGCAGCCTGAGCACCTGGGAGTACATGGCCTCGAGGCCCTGCAGCTGCCGCTGGATGGCCAGGGCGTCCGCCGACTGGCTGTAGTCGTCGTCGGATGTCATCTCGGTTCCGTCGAGGAGGGATTCCATGTCCAGGGCTGTCGTCGTGGTGGAGGTCACGTCCCCGTCGTTTTCTACCGACAGATCTGCGAAGACTCCTTCGGTTTTCAAGTATGAAAATGTCATACACAATTTTATTATTTTTTATATTTTATTTATTTATTTAGCATAATTTTATATTATTTTATTTTACTTCTTTTAAAAAAGTGTAAAGGGGTACCTAGTGGGATCTTGTTAGAATATCTCTTCGGAAGGCCGAGATCATCTTTCCCCTGAGGTTTCCCATGCTTGTTATCCTCGAGGAGCACCGAGTCCTCTCTCCACGTCCGGATCCGAGAGGTCTGGGCTCGCAGGTCGTCAGATCCGGCTCCTCCTGGTGATTGCTCCAGGAGATCTGGTTTCGACAGCATCGAGCTCCCACTGTCGGGCAAGCGGAAGAGATGCTGAAACCGATTCTTCCTGTGTTCCCTAAGATAATCATAAGATGCTCATAAGATAATCATAGGGTCACGGTGCTTAGGATCACCGTTCTGACAGGCGTTCCCATGCTCGCTAAACGCATCGAGGGCACCGCATTGCCCAAGTGAGTCGTTTCCGACCATCACGTCCTAAATACACGATCCGTTCTCGTCCATACCTGTGAGGCGGGTTCGAGGCGGCGAGCGGATGGCCAAGGGGCGTGTGAGGGGGCGAGGGCCCCGGCGACAGCGGGGGCAAGGGTGGCGTCACGGACAGGCTCTCGCTCACCGTCGAGGTCCCGCCGCCTCTCCGACGTCCTTTCTCTCCTGCAACAACGGAACCGTTGAATACCGGGGGGAAGGCTTCTGATACGGTGGCACTTTGGGATATGAGGATCAGTCTCTAATGGAACGGAATTATTTATTCCTTTCTTTCCCGGGAGGGCATATACTGTATATGCCCTCCCGGGATGGTATGGATGGGTATGGATGATATAAATAGAACGTCTCGATACGATACCATACCAGATGGAAATTCCCCTCCGAGTTAACATACCGTATTTGCCGGGTTTTGGAAAAGTCAGACACGTGAAGGTTATGAGGGAAGTAATCCAGACCTTTAACCTTCATGCTTCTTTAATGGGAGCTACCAGGAACTTGCATGGGCGGATATTTTTCCATCTCATCATTTGAAATCAAATATAAAAAATCCACTCTGTAGGAGCGGGGGCGTGAAATTCAAAAGAAGTCGGAAATTGAAAGCGGGGTCCCTTTGTATCGATGCGTATTGATTGGAAAGAAAGGCTTTTGAAACCATCTGGAACGAAATTTCAAGAACGAAATTTCAAAGACTCTCATCTTTTTGCCAAACATCTTCATGAGAATTTTCTCAGCAAGAATTCCGTCGAGAAATCGAGTTCATAAATCCGTAAATTATCATAGAGACTGGCTTACTCCTCCCGCGAACTCAATCAAAAATTAAAAAAAATAGATATAATGAAGGCTAAAAAATAAAGGCTAACCGAAGGATCGCGTGGGCCCATAGGGATCGGAATCCCCGCTGGTGTCGAGGGGGCGATCCAGGGTCCCGGCCTTCCTGGGTCCCAGGGTTCCACGACCGGAATCAGAGGTGGAATGTCCCTTCTCGTAGTCTGAACTTCCGGGGGACATCTGAGGGCCTGGTCCGCCGGGGGACATTTGAGGGCCTGGTCCGGATGTTCCGGGTGGCGCCCCTGTTCCAGGTGGCGCTCCGGTCCCGCCGGTCTCATCCGATTCGACCAGGACCCGCGAAGCATGCACCGTGCTGAGTTCCTCTTCCTCTTCTCCCCCTTCCGCACCCCCTCGTCTTCCCAGGGGCCTGTTATTCGAGGGCCTCATGTAATGCTGCTGATTCAGGGCGTAGTGATGGCCGTAGGCGTCCTGCGGCTTCTCCTCGACGACCGCGCGCTTCGCGTCCTCCTGCGCCCCGGCCGCTTGCTTCCCTCCCAGCTTGCTCGAGATGATCTCCCTCAGATGAGAGTATTTCTTCTCCGCGAATTCCTTCGCTTTCGCCGAGACCCCCGACGCCTTCCGCTTCTCCAGCGTCCCTCTGGGACTCTGCAACGAAACCGAAACTCTTCTCTTCTGCTTCCCGAAACGCCGCGATGGGACGAGAGGATCGGCACGCTCACCTTGTCCGACTGGAGTTTCTCCACTTGAGATCCATGAGATCTGCAAAGGAGGATCGATCGTGTTTATGACACGCGTTCCGTGACGAAGAAGCATAAATCGCGTCGGTTGATGCTTTTGTGCTTTATTCACGTCAAGTCCTCGGCGGCCTCACGCAGACATTCTCGAGCAGAACGAGTTATCATGTATTGTTATTACGATATTTCAAAAATTATAACCGTCTAACCGGCCAAAGACGACAGCCATTTCCGTTCCGTCATCAGTTACTCCCCCAATGACCACTCCCTCCCCGATTCCAACCAGATTTCATGAGAATTCTCACTTGTTGAAGATGACGGAATTGGCCTCGGTGCTGTCGGTGGTGCCCGAGGAGCTGGGGGTCTGGGGGTTGTTCCCGTGGAGGACGTCAGGGGGGTAGTGGCTTCTCATCGGGACCTGCAGGGGTGAAGAGGGGGGTTGCGGATTAGACTGTGGGGATTGCGGATTAAGCCGAGTGGATTGTCGAATCCTTTTTCTTGTATGTGCGCGATCCGGTTTGCATGAGGCCGAGTGCCCTCATTTGAATGACAAAAGTTTTTGCTTCGAGCTCCCTTTGCAATCAAGCGATGGGTTTAACAGAAAGTCTTTTCACCATAATTTTTACAATGATAATCCTCCTGATGATCAAGAGACAGACGAGACGAAACGGACCCCGCATTCGTTGATGAAGTGAGGATCCAGGGCGGGGTTGTCGATCCCGTTCACCAGGTGGCGCTGTCCCCGCTGGACCAGCGGCTGGCCCTCCCCTTTTTTTAAAGGTCCCCAAGCATGTTTAACTCTGATACTGGGGTAATTTTTGTACCCCAGACGTACATATAACGATTTCTTTTGCGGAGGTATAGTATAACTGAACATTTATGTTATGTGA